CGGGAGCCCCAGGAAATGCCAGGCCAGTTATCACCCCAGTGAAAGGCGGGGCGGGGCGCCTTAACCCCTAGCTCCCACCACCACCGGGTGGGTTACCCATGTGTTTGTTGGAGGGCCTAGAGGGCCAGTGTTGTGAGGGGCCCAGAGAGGGCGGACCCCGAGAGTGGGAGTGATGTGGGTGTGGTGCTGCGGTTGCCCCGAGAGGATGGGGAGTAGTGGCACAGTGAGGCCCAGTGACAGAGTGAGCGGCTAGAGAGACCCAACCTGAAGGGGAGAGTACCCTCGACTGGCCCAAGCTGGGGCCAGGACTATGGTAGTCAGAAGGGCTGGGGGCCCACCACTAGGGACGCCCAAGAGCCGGGGGCCTGGGGTTCCGACTGGCCTGGAGGTGGGCCAGGGCAAGAGGCCGAAGGTTCCGGGGGAACCACACCCGAGAGGGGAACATGGCTTTGGTGGGGCTAGGTAGCCCGGATGATGACAGAGTGGCCGCCTGAGAGGAGAGGATCATAGAGGGGTCCTGTACGGATGATTCTGGGGCCCAGTGTGGGGCCGGTGATTATAGTAACACCATGATGCCATCTGCAAGGCTTGGGCTGCGGTATTAGGGGAGGTCGGAGCCGCAGAGCGCCCCCTGGCATCGGGGCATTACAATGGGCAGCCTCCCGCTTAATTAACATCTTAACTGAACTTATTATCATCAAAGGCTTGGTGGGCAAGATAGCCAGGCGGTTGCCAAGAGACAGGTGGGCGGGCCGTGGAGAACGGCCCCGAGATGGCCCCGTCACACACTTTTTTTAAATGCATAGGGGGTAAAAAGAAGGTTCCGGGTAATGTGGGACCTCTGCAGCACACACTAGGAAATCTGGTGGCCTCACCAGATGACAAAGCTAACCTATTTAACAATGTCTTTTCCTCCATTTTTCTGAGCAGGGACCAAGTCATCCCCCCCCACCGGGATCCCCGATAGTCCCAGGGGAGGCACAGCCAGGCCCAGGGTCAGAGAGGGCCTAGTCAGGGAACTTCTGGTGGGACTAGACGTGTTCAAATCAGCAGGTCCTAACAATCTCCACCCCAGAGCGCTGAGGGAATTAGCAGAGGTCATTGCGGTACCCTGACACAGCTTTACGAGCACTCGTGGTGCTCTGGCAAGGTGCCAGAGGACTGGAAAAGGTCCAACGTGGTCCCCATTTTCAGAAAAGGGAGGAAGGAGGACCCAGGAAGTTATAGGCCTGATAGTCTTACCTCGGTCCTGAAAAAGCTCTTTGAGAAAATTATCCAGGTGCACATCTGCAAGGGGCAAGAAGGGGAGTGTAGTGTATGCTTAGGGGCAACCAACACGGGTTCACTAGAGGCAGGTCCTGTCAGACCAACCTGATGGCCTTCTATGACCGGGTCACAAAAGCCTTGGACGCAGATGTCATGCGGACGTAGTCTTTCTGGACTTTAGGAAGGCCTCTGACACTGTCTCTCATCCCACTCTTGTTAAAAAATTAGGAGATTGTGGTGTTGATGCCTACACAGTCAGATGGGACGCCAACTGGCTGAAGGGCCACACCCAGACAGTGGCGGTGGACAGGTCATTTTTGACTTGAAGGGATGTGGGCAGTGGAGTCCCCCCCAGGACTCAGTCCTTGGGCCCGCACTGTTCAACATCTTCATCAGCGACTTGGACATGGGGGTGAAAAGCACCTTGTTCAAATTCACAGATGACACTAAGATGTGGGGAGAAGTGGGCACGCTAAAAGGGAGGGACAGGCTGCAATTGGATCTGGACAGGTTACAGGGGTGGGTGGATGAGAATAAGATGGGATTCAATACTGACAATGCAGGGTACTGCACCTAGGGAGAAAGAACCAGCAGTATACCTACAGGCTGGGGAACTGCCTTCTCATCAGCACAGAGGCAGAAAAGGATCTTGGAGTCATTATAGACTCCAAGATGAACATTGGCCGCCAATGTGGGGGATGCAGTCCGGAAGGCTAACCGCACCTTGTCATGCATCCACAGATGCATCACGAGCAGATCCAAGGAGATGATCCTCCCCCTCTATGCGACATTGGTCAGGCTGCAGTTGGAGTACTGCGTCCAGTTCTGGGCACCACACTTCAGGAGAGATGTGGACAACATGGAGAGGGTCCAGATGAGGGCCACTCGCATGATCAGGGGGCAGCAGGGCTACGAGGAGAGGCTACGGGACCTGAACCTGTTCAGCTTCCACAAGAGAAGGCTGAGGGGGGTGGAATCTGGTGGCCGTCTATAAACCGGCCAAGGGAGACCAGCAGGCAATGGGAGAGTCCCTGTTCCCCTCAAGCACTACTGGGAGTAACAAGGAATAATGGCCATAAGTTGATGGAGAGTAGATTCAGGCTAGATATCAGGAGGCACTACTTCACAGTCAGGGCAGCTAGGAGCTGGAACCAACTTCTAAGGGAAGTGGTGCTCACTCCTACTCTGGGGGTCTTTAGAAGGAGGTTAGATAGACACCTTGCCACAGTCATTTGACCCCCTCATTCTTTCCTGCCCATGGCAGGGGGTTGGACTTGATGATCTGCTCAGGTCCCTTCTGACCCTACTAACTACGAAACACTTGGAGGGGAAGAAGGTGATTAGGAACAGTCAGCATGGATTCACCAAGGGTAAGTCATTCTTGACCAACCCAATTGCTTTTATGATGAAATGACTAGCTCTTTGGATGCAGGGAGCGCCATGGACATGATATACCTTGACTTTAGCAAGGGCTTTTGAAATGGTTTCCCACAATGTTCTCACAAGCAAGCTAAGGAAGTAGTCTTGTATGAATGGACTGTAAGGTGGATAGAAAGTTGGCTGGATCATTGGGCTCAAGGGTAGTAATCAACAGCTTAATGTCTAGTTGGCAGCTGGTGTCAAGTAGAGTGCCACAGGGATCAGTCCTGGAGCTGGTTTTGTTCAATATCTTTATCAATGAACTAGAAGATCGGATGGAGTGCACCCTCAGCAAGTTTCCAGATGACACCAAGATGGGGGAAGTAGTAGATACACCGGAGGGTAGTGCTAGGATTCAGAAAGACCTCCATAAATTGGAGGACTGGGCCAAAAGAAATCTTATGATGTTCAATAAGTATACGTGCAAAGTCCTGCACTTAGGAAGGAACAATTCCATGTACTGGTACCGGCTACTGACTGACCGACTGACTAAGTAGAAGTTGTGAAGAAAAGGACATGGGGGTTATAGTGAGTAACCTGAATATGAGCCAAGAGTGTGCCCTTGTCGCGAAGATGCCTAATGGCATACTGGGCTGCATCCATAGGAACACTATCAGCAGATTATGGGGAAGTGATTGTTCCCCGCTTATTCGGCACTGGTGAGGCAACAAGTGGAGTACTGCGTCCATTTTTGTGGACCTCACTACAAAAAGGATGTGGACAAATTAAAGAGTCCAGTGGAGGGCAACGGAAATGGTTAGGGGGCTGGGGCACATGGATTTATGAGGAAAGACTAAAGGACCTGTTCTTATTTAGTCTGGAGAAGAGAAGACTAAGAGGGGATTTAATAGCAGCCTTCAACTACCTGAAGGGTGATTGGAAAAGGATGGAGCTAGACTGTTTTCAGTGGTGGTAGATGACAGAACAAGGAGCAACAGTCTCAAGTTGTAGCAAGGGAAGTTTAGGCTAGATATTAGGAAAGACTTTGTGAAAAGGGTAGTAAAATATGGGAATAGGATACCCAGAGAGGTTGCAGAATCTCCATCCTTGGAGGTTTTAAAGTCCAGGCTAGACCATGACTTGGCAGGAATAATATAGTTGGGGATAGTCCTGCTTAGACCAGGGGGTTGAAAGGGAGCTCCTGGGATCCGTTCTGACCCCAAGCTTTCTATGATTCTATGACTCTACAACACTAGAAGAATAACATATATTTTGCTGTTAGTTTATCATTGTCTCGATTTAATGATTTACATCTGAGGAGTGTGGGAAAGGTATAAAAACCTGGTGGACTCCAAAATGAGCAATAAGGCCTGATTGCAGTGGTTCTGTCTTAAAGGAGAGGTTAAATCAACTGAACAATAGGCTTTCTGGGTAGCATGGGGAACAGATCCCGCTAAAATGCTGCATGCTAATAAGTCTCTCTCAACCTACCTACATATACCTGCTGATAGCAGGGTGATGTAAAAATAAAGGCTGTTTACATTTAAACAAACCCAGTTACTGGAGATTTTCTCTTTGAATTTATAAAGCTTCAATCTAGTTTTATACTCCTTACTCCATCAATATTCTTGCTAACTTGAATGGCAGTTGGCTAGACACTGCATGACATCTGATCACTGATATCAGCAAATGGAGCTTTATATTTTAATAGTCAAGTTTATTATTAGTTCCTCTAGACCACTTTTGTGAACTATCTTCTTTGTGCATGTAAATATAAACATTATTAGTGTCACCCTAAGAGAGATTTTTTTTTAAATACATTTCCCAGCAAGTATAAATATTTAACACGTCAAAATCAATTCAAGGACAAACCTTAAAAGCCATTGTGAATAAAGATAAAGTCTCCAGAATTGTAAGGCAAACTTCAGTGGCAATATTGGCTTCAAGTAAAGATTGATGAAGAACATCTGCATCTGAATGGCCATAGCCTGTAGAAATTTAAAATAGTGTTACTTTATAAAGGTTTGATATGTAAGAATTTTTTTAATGCTGAGAAATCAAAAATTGCAGA